AGGTATTGGATATATTGAATTTAAGGTATTTGTTATTGTTACAACTAACAATAAGATCTTTAATTAATTTTTCCGTTTCTAATACATTTATTTTTGTACTAGCTTTTGCCCGCGACTTCGTCCGCGTTATCGTCGTTTTTCGTAAAAAAGTAGCATATGTCCTTCCTCAGGGTTCCGTGGTTTTGATGTGACAGACAGATTAACTTTCGTATTTTAGTAGGGAAATATAATACTGTTAAAAATATCGCAATAAGGAACCGCAGAATATTATTATTATCACTGTGCCCCGAGACCATCAGCGTGTAACTCCTTGTATGTTATTATGTTAATGTATTGGTAATATTGTTTAGATCGCTTTCACATGAGTCTTAAGTACATATAGAATGAAAATACTTCAGCGCAAAGCTTCCGGGTAGACTACGTTGAAATTGGACCCGTCTTAGTCTTAGTCTTAGTAGTACGGCGGGCTGTTTCCGCAACTCGACACCTAGTGCCTATTTTGCGTGGGGATTGGCATCAGTCCTGCCATCCCAGCTCCTCCAGAAAGCTCAGCAGTCCCCGAATGTTGCTGCAGGCCTCTACTATTGTCTTCGGGCTTCCCATTAGAGAAGTCCTTTGTCTTGCAACGCCCCTGCACTCCAGTAGGACATGGGCGCTCGTCTCATCCGCCTCCAGGCAGGCTCTGCACAGAGGGCTGTCAGAAATACCTATATTACAAAGGTGTTTGTTAAAGTAGCCGTGACCCGTGAGTATACCCACGAAATTGGACCCGTCCGGAACGTGAACATAAAAAAATCTAGGACTGCTAACCCGGGAAAGACCGACATAACTGACCATGTGAAAAACAACTGACACCGAGATCTACTCCAACAACACGAAAGGTCTGCCCTTGAGCCTTATTTATTGTCATTGCATAACACACCGATACTGGGAATTGCGTTCTTTTAAATTGGAATGGAAAATTATTTGGTATTATGGGAATTCTGGGAATAAAGATGGTTTCTCCTGCACCGCAACCTATTAAAATTTGAGCCTCGATTACATTTTGTTGCAACTGGGTTACTTTAAGCCGAGTTCCATTGCAAATTTGTGGTGGTCTTAAATTTCGGAGCAGAATAATCGGAATGCCAATTTTTAAACAAATTTCATGAGAAGGAAGTACGGGCATATTTAAAGAACTTAAAAATTCTATCGGGTAATTAGTGGCTTCTTGTTCATCGGCCATTCTATTTATTGAACTATAAACTTTGCTTTCCCCTGGATATTCGACAGTATTTTATTATTAATCTCAGATGCCTGGTCATTGCGAGGAGTTAAAATGGACCTTTCGCATAGCCAAGAATTGTTCTTATTTAATATATTTGTTACGTCACCGTAAACTGACGATGTAAGATGTTGTTGGGATTGCACTATACAACATAACTCAGGCGTCAGAATAAGTTTTCCTTGGTGTAGCAGTGGATAGGTATCTTTGGTGAAGGTATTTTCTTTAATAATATATCAGAAAATTCACGATCATCCGGGTTATCTACAGTTCTCACTCGCATGTTTATAGTCAAATGCACCGATTGTATATCACGCCACAAATAAGAGCTTTTCAGGCAAGCCCTAACCTCAGCAGCTCGGGTTCCCCGTGGTATTACCGTTAAGGTTTGTCGGAAATCTCCACAAAATAAAACTGTGATACCGCCCATGGGTCGATCATTTTGTCTTATATTTCTTAAAGTTCTGTCTACCGCTTCTACTCCTTTTCGATGGGCCATCGTACATTCATCCTATATGATTAAATTACACTTTGAACGAATATTTAAACACTACCAAAACAACTAATACGTGGTCCTAACTTTAGCTACCTTACACATAAAATCTAAGTGACTATTTGAACTAAAATATTCTTATAGAATTATAACCAGAAATATATACAACTCACAACAAAAAAAAAAGAAAATAAAGCTGAAACGCCTGTGCAATACTATCTACCTATACCTACTTCACTTAAAAATAAATACTTATAACTATTTTAATTAATAAAAGTACCTACGCTTAATAATTTTTAATTTGAACGAATATTTCAACAGTACCAAAACAACTAATACCTATTTTACAAAATAACAACAAAAGAAATTCAAATAAACTATTTAAAGACTAAAAGTCGCGCTGATAAGCACGGTTTCTCAATATTTCTCAATTATTGTCTGTCAATAAGGTCGAACGCTCTGAACTTATCAACAGCCAAATATTGAAGTTCGCTCGCTCTCTTTTTTTTATTTTTTTGTTTCTTGCCAGACGGGGGAGCAGGTGAGAAATCCTCATGGATACCCTACAGCCGGCTGCAAGGTTATGTCAGACTCGTACTGACTAAAAAACACCCGTAGGGGCTGCCTCTGGCCGGGAAGGCCTCTAAGGCTTCATCGGAAGCGATCGTCCCCCAGGGGGGGGGGGGGGGGGGGGAGCGACGCAGAAAACAGATTTAGACAGCTCGCTCTCGGATCTCCCGCCTTTTACACAAAAATAATCCTTATAGCATGATTCAGTATTCACGTGCGACGGCGCGTTCGACATTATTTCATGTATAAGTTTGGTGTTTCTATACCGATTTCTATGTTTTGTTTTTATTGAATAGGTAATAATGTTAACTTTTTTAAATTAGGGATGAGTCAGAGTATTATAAACGTAAGAGTAAACAAATATGATCAGAATGCTCCGAACTGCTAAGCTATCGGGAGTTACACGTGTTATTGTGAGTCAACCATAAAAGATAGACATATGCTGTTGCGGTATATTTTTTAGACAATTTTATGTAGAATATTTCCGTCATACATGATTTCTATGTAACTTTAATCATTAAGGCTGCACACGCGACGGAAGCTTAAAAAATGTAGTAACTTCTCCCGTTTTCCCAACATTTCCCTTCACTACTCTGCTCCTATTGATTGTAGCGTGATGAAAAGTATACTATAACCTGCCCAGGAGTATGAAGAATAATTGTACCAAGTTTCGTTAAAATCCGTCGAGTAGTTTTTGTTTCTATAAGGAACAAACACACAGACAGACAGACAGACAGACAAAAAATTTACTGATTGCATTTTTGGCATCAGTATCGATCACTAATCACCCCCTGATAGTTTTTTTAAAAATATATTTCATGTACAGAATTGACATCTCTACAGATTTATTATAAGTATAGATTGTTTCAGGATCTTAGAACTGAAACATCACATTAGAAAACTGGAATGTAGCAACATTCAGTTCATGGGACAAGGTCTTGTCGATCACAAATTGACACCATTTGATGCTGAACTGTCCGAAGTTCCACCTCATTCGAAAAGACCAGAGCACGTAGAATTACTTATCAAAGAAACATTCAAGAAAGCAGCCGAAAGAAAACAAGAAATTTTGAGATTAAGTAACGATTTAAAATATTACTTATATATTTAGTTGGTGATTAAAGAAATAATAAAATAATACGAGCATATAAAATATTATTTTTTAGAAAAATTGCAAAAAACAATTGCTTCTTGACTCTTATTCTTCTTCTTCAATTATTCTTATTTAATCTTAATCAATCCACATTTATTATTTTTTATTTATATTGACTTTGAACTCATTTATTCCCCTCTAGCATGACCACCGAAACGGGATATGATAAAGCGATATATCGGCATTAACTGTCAGACTACTATGGAGTCGCGATATATCGCTTTATCGTGGCCGATATATCGCTTTATCATATCCCGTTTCGGTGGTCATGCTAGAGGGGATTGTAAGCATTCATAGCATTTTTAAACAAACTCCTCGGCTGTTTATGTTTTTACCGACTTAAAAAAGGGGTGGTTCGCAATTCGGTGGTAAGTTTTCTTTTCTTATATATGTAACATCAATTACCTACTCCGAGATTATTAATCCGATTAATGAGATTGTTTTTTGTTCGATGCGGAATAGTTTCCATTAGGTCCCATTAAAATATAATCCAGTAGTTTTAGAGTTCCGTAACCAAAGGGTAAAAATGGAACCCTATTGCTGTCACTCTGTCGTCTACCTTTCACGGATCTCAAGATCGTATACAGAATGAGAAACAGAACTAAAATTTTCATATTTTATGTAAAATGCTTGAACCAAACTTTTATTTAAAAATATAATTAAACTATTTTTCATGAGGGGTCAACACGAAACGATACTATTTTTTGTCTTTTTCAACCCCGCATGACACCTCATTAGCTAGAGCTCGTTGAGCAGAATATAAATATAACATTTATTATTTTTTATTTTCAAGAACGAAGAAATGGGAGGCCGTCATAGTTGTCATTTTTAGACCATTTTTATTACGGGATCTATCTCAAAATCGAAATTAGTTAGGAATGTGAAATTTGGGTTATCATGTCCCATAATTATGCTGTATTTAAACAACAAATACTAAAAACGCGGATTCGTTATGTGCTTTGTAAGTTGCGACGAGACCAAACAGATGATTTTTCGTTCGCGGTTTGTTGTAAGGAACCCTTCGTGCGCGAGTCTGATTCGCACTTGGCTGGTTTTTTATAAGCATTTATGTTACTTGTGCGATGTAATTTTCACGATACTTTGCTTATATGTTAACTGATTACAAAAGAAAAAGGAAATACCTACTTGCCCTATAGTTCCATAAAAAAAATATTTGGTTTGATCCCGTAGTTTTTATTTTATGAGCATTTATGTTTTTGTTTACTTGGACGACATAATTGTCATTAAAAAGGATGAAATATAAATTATTTTTAAAAACCGAAAATGGAACTAAAAACTAAAAAATAATATTTGGTTAATGATAAGCCGGACGGGGTCGAGATTGAAACACGTATTACCAAGTACAAATGAAAATCTATCCCATGTTTCGATCTTGGCCTGACTTCCAAATCATAAACCAAATATGATTTTTTACTGTTTAGTTCCATTTTCGCTTTTGTAGGCAATTAATTTTTTTGTTTAAAGTTAATTTTGATTTTTGTTACTTTTGTTTATTTACGCGAAAAAATGACATTGAAAACTTAATTATGCACATATTTTAATTAAGAACTATGCAAGAAACGATGATGAAATAATGAGACCAATTATACTAATCAAAATACTTACGTTTGTAATTTAGTCGAAGAAGAAGAACAATTAAAAAAGGTCGAGCTCGTACGTGTCACCAATTGGTGGGATGACGATCACGTAGATGAAGAAAGTAACAGTTATCAAGAATCAATAAAACAAGAAGATTCAGAAATAATAATAAGAAGACAAATGGCAGCCATGATTCAAGCCCATGAACGATCTAGGTAAGAAATATAACAAAGTAACTAACATCTAAAGTTCGTGCTGTATTCGTCATGTTATTAGTTAAAATTAATTTTCTATATATCGATCCATACCTTCTGCTCCATAAAGCAGGTTTATTGCTTTAGTTTTATTGAAGAACTAGCGGCCAGCCCTCGCTTCGCTTCGGTGTAGAGCTGAAGTGTGGAAACAGTTTTTGTTCTCAGGCTTATATTATACACAATGACATTCATCTATGATTCTTCTTATACCTGCATGCAAAGTCTCAGCCCGATCGGTTTAAAATTGACAAAGTTTCATACAAACTTCCATTCCCTATTTCATGTCATAACATCTACCTGCATGCCAAATTTCAGCCCGATCCGTCCAGTAGTTTGAGCTGTGCGTTGATAGATCACTATATCAGTCAGTCAGTCACCTTTGAGTTTTATATATATAAGATAAGCTAGTCTCCTGTGAAATTGGCAGTGAAAACATAATATTAACTTTTTTAAAGACAGCTAATTAAACTATTGACGCATCAGAGACAGAAGAGACAAATGTGGGAAAAAGAGTTGAGGGGAACTTTGAAATCCCAGGCGCCCCATGAGCTTAAAGAAAGGAGCGCTAAGCTCATACAAAAGGCATTCAGGTTTGTTCTTAAAATATATGATTTCACTGAAAATGAAACAAGTCAAAATGACGATTGAAAATTATTTTTTCCAGAGCATACTTTGATATAAAGCGAAGAAGAATATTACAATGCAAAGAGGATGAAATATTAGGAATGCGATTGAGTGGAAATATGAATAAAGACACAATGTATCAGGTAAAAATAATTACGTTAAGCATATTATCCAGTCACATCTTAATAATTTAATATCAACTGCTATATACAAAAGTGATATAGTGTTGGGTAGGATACGACTTGAAAAAGAGTTTGTAAGAGTAGTTTCTTTTTTGTACTGAGCCAGTACAATGTCCCACTTCAAATGAGGCGAGGCGTACTGAAGCTCGGCAATACATTTGAAGTGACGGGTACAAATATGACATTGAGGCGTACAGAAGCTCGACATTACGTTTGTGTGCACGAGTAGCACCTGGAGCGTAAGTTCTGAACGCAACCCTGGGCTGCGTTCAATACATACGCTCTAAGTGCAACTTTTACCCTGACGTTTAAATTTTTAGCGGGGACAAGGATTATTTGGCGTGTGGATGACTTTGACAAGAGGGCGTTGTACTGCAAATTAATTATAGAAAACACAGTGAGACAGCATTATTTCCAGTGTGTGTCATGCGATGGCCCACAAGATCCTTGTCGCACTGTATCACAGACTACTAAGATGACAGAGAGATAGGTACTACTACACTGTACCGTACAGGACTTAAATGAAATGTCATACCTCGCTCTCTCTCAGACTTACGAAGAGTGAGTGAGTAACGAGACGCAACTATCGCGACATTTAATGTGAAGTAGTACATTTTAAAATTTTGAGCCGCTCTTACATTTTGACGTCATGTCCGGGACAAATGTACCGCCTCTTGTAAGTCCTACTCAACACTAAAGTGATAAAAACCCTTACAGAATTTTAGATAAATGCTAGGCAGTAGTTTATTTTAGCAATTTAGTAGATTAAGTATCATTCTATGTTAATATTGTTTAGCAAAACTATAAACGACTTGAACGAAGAAAGCAATTGGAACAAGAATGGATCACTTCACGTGAAAATCTAAAACAAAAGTTTATGGAATCAAAGTTTAACGATTTTACCGAAGATTACCGAGATTTTATCAGATCTTGGTTTCGAAGATGGTACTTTTTATCTGAAGCGTAGAAAAGTAGATCACACTGACATTAGTATATCGATAATAATTCAGTAATATAGATTTTACGTGTCGAAAACATTGATAATAATTCAGTAATATACATTTTGCGTTTCTGAAACATTCAGTACTTAAAATTAAGACATTACTTTACGCAAATATACGTAGTTATGTGTCGTTATAAGGCTCAGTATCTAAATCATGCTTCGCACAATTTCTTCAATAGTAGGCATTTCAATTAATGTCAGGAACTGAATAAAAAAACGCATATTACAGGTTTGATGATATCAAATATTTTCATGATATGCCGAGAGAGAGTGAAGGTGGATCAGTTCTTATAATGAAAGATGAGTTACTGGATCCAGCCGAATGGTGGGACGAATATGAACGATACCTAGCAGAAAAGAAATCTAAAAAGAATCAATCAGCTTTACAGGTATAGCTTATGATACAGTTAGCTATCTGCTTCGTAAAACCTTCAAAATATTTTCTCTTATTTGCTAATATTTGCCACGAAATAGAGGAAATACGCCGAAATGCAGGCTAAAGAGGAAGCAATGATGAAAAAGAGAGAGGAGAGGATGAAAAAAAAGCTAGAAACTGAACTTAAGAGGAAACTGATGAAAAATCCAACTCTACATCCCGGCTACCACTATCCACAGTCTAAGAAAACTGAAAACATTTTAGAGGTAAACAATAAAAAAAAATCTAAATTTATATTTATATAGTTAATGTATTGGAACTACTACGTGAAATAGGTGTGTTGTGGTGTATGTAAATTGTCCATAGTTAAGGTTTTAAGTGGGGACAATAAAAGAAATATATATAATAAAAAACGACCATAAAGCTGCCACCTGGACGTCCTAGATAGAGACTTATTATTATAATACGATAAAATAAAATATTACTATGTTTCGTCCAATATATTGAAAGTCAACAACCTTTCCAATTTTATTGTTTTCGTCAGATCCCCGATCAGGCTACGTGTCCTGACGCGAGTTTAACATTTTTTACCCATACAAAAAAAAAGTGTACAACGCCGCTAAAGAAGTTTTCACTTCAAAAAACTTACTTTAATATTTCGTTAATAGGTCATAAAATCTTATCGTAATGATTGGAGCGATCTTGACTTCTGTAATAGAATGGATGTTAAAGAAAAATTTGTACAAGACATAGATGTTAACAACGTATACGCGAAAGTAAAACGAGAAATTATGACTACTGTAGATAACGACATGAGGTATGTGGACGGACATTCAAATTGTTAAAACAAAACCTAAATTTTTTTTTCAAATTTGGAAAGTACCTTTTTTATGTGTAATATTATCAGTATGTGCCTGTAATTGAGTAAGGTTACCACAGAGAGTATGGAGGCACACTGTGGCTCTGACGAGAAGATTATTATTAAGTTGCGGGCATACTACCTTTGCACCTGTAAAGTATCAGGCGGAAACCTCGTTATAAACATGTAGGGCAAAACTGCTTTCTGTTTTTTGTTAGAAATGAGTTAAAACTATTGAAAAGTGCACTGGAAAAGGATTTCGATAAAATGGAAGAAAAAATGCCAGAGCCAATGAATAAAAGAAAAGGACGTAAGTCGAAAAAAACTAAAAAGCTAAAATGCACCATGAGTGAGGATATTGCCGAAAAACTGGAGGTTACTTATTTGATTTCCTTGTAGTTTTACGATATATCAGATGTTTCTCCCGAATTGGAAATACAGTCTGGAAAAGCATCCTCAACAATATAGAAAACTGCAGTTAAACATTATTTTGTACTGCTTTATCCCTGCACTCAGTAAGAACGTATCTCATTAGGTAAGAATATCAAATTCTTACCTAATGAGATACGTTCTTACTGAGAGCTAGTATTAGCACTGAACATCAGTCCGAGTTAATAAACGAGGAATAAGTTTAGACTAATTACACCGTGTTTTGTTCCTATCACTCAAATGCCATTTGTCATTCAATGAACCTATACAAAACATGGGGTAACTAAACCTAGCTTATTCTTTGTTTATTGTATTATAGAGGGGCAGGAGCATTCCGTGTCCCTTTTTATATTATAGATGGCTCTACCGAATGTAAGTGAGTGATCACCTTTACCCAAAGACACCTGCAACACACATTTTAATTATTTATACCTTGTTTAATTTTTTTTTTTGATGTATTCATTGAATTATTTGTTTAATAAATCAAATTTCAAAGGCTATCATCAATATTTTAGGATTTGGCGTTCAAGGGCATTCTTAAACAATATCCACGGACTGAACTGAAAGTTTTTTTAGGAGACCACAATTATGCTGGAGATGATATTCGATGTGATAATGAGTAAGTTAAAACTTACAAAGACCTTTTCTTTTCAAAGTAACGCCCATTTAAGTAGCAAGCTCCATAAATTTCGCTTACTGACAAATAGTTGGAAGGTCCTCCCTCCCTCACTATATTTGAGGAGCTGGCGAACAAAACGGTATAATTACATAAAATTAAATTTTACAGGAGCTGTATAAAACTGAATGGACATACCTACAGTGAGCTTTTGCCATGGTTTTTAATTTATAAATTTAGTAATTTTGACACTGTTTTAGGATTCCAATTCAACGGGCCCGAAACCCCCGGACTGTAAAAAAAATGTAGTTAGACCAGATGCGTAAAAATACCGTTTTGTTCGCCAACTCCTCATTTATATTTAGCCTTGACCTCAGTGTTTTCCGATGTAGAAAAAAATATATAATGCCGCGTTTCCACTAAAGCTCAGAACAGGAGGCCTACTCTATTTCAACGAAAAACGAAATTTCGCACTTTCCTTACTCTGATTCTATTTCATTTCGAAAATTCTTTCCAATTAAATTTTTAGTTCAAAAGTTCTTTGAACTAAAAATTTAATTGCACAGATAATTGTTCGAAATTTTAACCTCAAATTGACGAAATGAAAACCTTTTCATTTTCGTTTTGGGATTTTTGTTTAAATTAAACCTAAAATTACTACTAGATTTTACTAGGTATTTTTAATTAAGGCTGCTTAGCGTGAGGAACATTTTTTAATATGAAACATTTACAAATAAATCAAATTTTTGTTTATTATTGTATTGCCAATACTTCAAAGTGTTACACGACAAATTTAGGTTGACATACATTCGATTGCATCAACACTACAAATTAGTCGGCTAACACTGTCAAAAGAGGTTGTTTTAATGTAATCAAACACGTTGTCATATAAAGCAATATTGTTTTGAAGGAAAAAAACGTTATCTAAAAAGTGTAGACAAAAATAACTCACAAACATAACTCATTCCATTCGTTCACGATAATTGTCTGTGGTTCCGAACTTTATGTGCGTGTTCGAAGATGAAATAGAGTAGAGTCACTGGCGAAACTTCGTTTAAAATTCGTTCGTTGCCGAAATTTCGTTTCGGAGAAAGAGAATAGAGCTCCAGTTCTGAACGAGCAAACATTTACTCGCTCGATAAATAGAAACATGAGAGAACGAACGAGTTCGTACATGGATATTTGATTCGACTAAGAGAACGAATGCTCCTTTGCTCAGTCTTCAATGAAAACAATGCAACATTGTTTTGAGCATTCCATTAACTGAGCTAACGAAAGTTTGCTCGCTCGGAACTGGAGCCCTACTCTCTTTCTCCGAAACGAAATTTCGGTAACGAACGAATTTTGAACGAAATTTCGCCAGTGACTCTACTCTGTTTCATCTTCGAACACACACATAAAGTTCGGAATCACAGACAATTATCGTGAACGAATGGAATGAGTTATGTTTGTGAGTTCTTTTCGTCTACACTTTTTATATAATGTTTTTTACTTCAAAACAATATTACTTTATGACAACATTTTTGATTACATTAAAACAACCTCTTTTGACAGTGTTAGCCGACTAATTTGTAGAGTTGATGCAATCGAATTTATGTTAACCTAAATTTGTCGTGTAATACTTTGAAGTATTGGCAATACAATAATAAACAAAAATTATATTTATTTGTAATCTTTCACACTAAAAATGTTCCTCACGCTAAGCAGCCTTAATTAAAAATACTCTAGTAATAATTTTAGGTTTAATTTAAACAAAAATCCCAAAACGAAATTGAAAAGTTAACACTTTTCATTTCGTCAATTTGAGGTTAAAAATTCGAACAATTATCTGTCAAATTCAACTTTTAGTTCAAAAGTTTTGTGAATTAGAGTAGGCGTAGAGAATTTAAATGTCAAACTATTTTCGGACGAACGAATTTTCGAAATGAAATAGAAACAGAGTAAGGAACGTGCGAAATTTCGATGGAAATTTCGTTTTTCGTTGAAATAGAGTAGGCCTCCTGTTCTGCTACCGAGCAAACATCTTGTCCAGAGCAAATATTTGTTCTAATTATAGACCAGCGCATCCCTTAAGTGGGGAACTGAGGGCGGTATGGTGGGAGAGGTGTCGAGAAGTGAGCCACGGAGCGCACCAGATCCTCATCGTTGGACCACCTCGAAGCGGCAAAACTGTATTGATTAATGCCTTGGCTAGTGTGAACGGTAAATACCCTTTTTACGGCAAGACGAGAAAAGCGAAACGCAAAGGCATTATCTGCCTCTAAAGATAGAAAAACAAAATTCTTAGGATATCTTTCAAAATTTTGTGCTAAAGACTTTGTAATGAAACTTCATTACAAAATAAAGCTCTTCTTCTCCATTGTACTTTATAGTACTGTAATTTAATATCAAACCCATTTCTCAGATGCTGTATTGTTCGTGTTGGATCCTTATGAGCTGCATACATTGCCCACTGCCGAGTTGCATAAGATAGTAAATTCGGTGATAGCCTGCGCACGAGCAGTTCAACCTTGCGTCATATACACACGTCACGTCCACAAGCTGTATTATAAGAAGATGAGTACTAAGACTCTCATTACGTAGCAATCAAAATAGCCTGTTTACTTATTTTTTTTTTTATTTCATAAACATTTACCTGCTACACTAAACCCACTGAACTAGCGAGGTACATTGGGAATGCGGCTTGCCGTACCGCCATAACCGATAGTCATCATCAGCCTATAAATGTCCTCATTGCTGAGGCACAGGCCTTCCTTATCGATATATTTGGGAGTATGGACCAAGACCCACTTGGCCGCAGTGAGTATCGATGGGTGCTAGCGCCTGTAGATAAGGTCAGCATAAAGAACCCATTGTTTTTTGCCCGCATTGGTTGTGATACAAGGAAAAGTAAAATCACGTGGCAGGTAAAATATGAAATGGACTGACATAATATATATGCAGTGTAAACGAAATAATGTTTTAAACAGTCACAACAAACCCCACCCAAAACTACTTACCGACTCCTGATCTAAGGCTGTTAGAGGTTAAGTATACGTGGTGTTCCGACCGATGTTTAACAATTATTGTTATTTCTACAGGTCCCATCAGGTGAATCCATAAACAATCCTAATATCCTTAGACGCATATTGATAAGGAAGTTGTGTAAGAGGATCCAAAAATCAGACAATATAACAATAATTGGTCAGTAATTCACAAATTATTATTCTTCGTAATTTTGGGCACGAGACATGTAGATGTAAAAATAGCTATTTATTTTTGAATTTAAGCATACAGTCCAGGATTGATGGTTATTTATTCCAAAAACTACGCTGTTGCCTATATTGCCTAAGCCTCAGTGTTGTTCGTTACCTTTAGAAATAAAAAAGTTTTTACAGGCACCTGCATCGACCCGTGGCTGACCCAAAGCAAACAGCTGTTGAATCAATTCCATAACACTGTCCTCATCCCAGACACGAGTTACTCGACAGTTGTCACACTTTTGAGGATGTGGATCGATTGGTGAGTACAAGTTACTTCTTACCAACATGTGTTAATTTTTTTGTTGTTGTAAATGTTTGGAAACAAGCTTATGACATGCCTGATACTAAGCGGCTCCTATAGATAAGATACTTGTTGCGATACCGTACAGTACAATATTCCTTAACCACCTTATATACCTTTTATACAACTACAAAGAAATATGTACTGGGTCTGCTCGGTGAGCTCGGTAGCGCAAGTGGTTAGCGCGTTCGGCTGCGATCGTTGAAGTAGTGGTCGGTAACTGGATGGGTAGGCCAAAAATGTACTATATCGAGCTCCTCCGTGCTTCGGAAGGCAGGTTAAGCCGTTGGTCCTAACTGCATCTGCAGTCGTTAGCAGCCTCCAATCCGCACTGGGCTCGCGTGGGTCATGGCCCAATCTCCCTATTTCACTATGACTTCATTTGCTTTTAATTTTCAGCAACCATTCAGTCCCACGGGATTTAGACATAAGCGGTTTGGCTTTCGTCTTAAGAGGATACAGCTACGGCTATCTAAAAGACACTCTCACAAAGTTCTTAACGCCAGAACGTATCATCAAGTTAGTTAAACATACTTTATAAGATTCGAACAATGCAAAATAAACATCTTACTTCACCTGATGTTAGTGTCGCTAGAGTCTAGTTTTATAAATATAGGAGGCATACAAGCTGACGTCTCACCTGATGGTAAGTCATCGCCGTCGCCCATAGACACCTGCACTATCAGGCAGATTTTTATCAGGACTATCACAAATATGATGCCGGCCTCTAAGGAAGAAGTGCGCATCATTTTTTGAAGATTTTCGGGTCGAATTGGTCCGGAAACACTGCTTGCGCCAATTTATTCCACAGTTAGGTCGTACGTGGCTTTCCACAACTGAATTTGTCGAAATTTTTCTGTTAATTTTTCCACGTTTTCTCGTCAAATTTAATTTCTGTTGCAAAGATAACCAATGTAAACGAAAAACTAAGCGCTCCAACTTCCTCATCTATCTGGCCAGCACCTAAGCCCCAACTCCGTGAAGCCTCGGTAACATTATTCACGGACAGAGTCAGAAACATAAGCCAATAAAAAAAATTTACTGCAGTCTTATGGAAGGAGGGAGTAGCTTCCCTGATGAACGCTATTCGTTCTCGCTCGTTTCACTCTTAACAGAGTGGTTATGATCATTTTAAGTCATCTGTTTTGGAAGGGGGCAGATGTAGTTCGCCTTACGATTTCCCGCCACCTAGCTCTATTCGTGGACTGCCCGGTGAATTCATTCATATTAGAAACAAACGCTATAAGACTGGAACGTAGATTATTCTTAGTTAGAGAGGCACGGCATAAAAGATACCCCGCATCTGGGAAATTATCCTCCACCTTACAGGAGAACACAGTGATATTTTACTGCATGCGTGTTATTACATTAACTGGTTTTGTGTTTATATGTTACGGCCACACTGTCGCGCTATCGAGAACATTTTCTGTTTTCACGATAAGTCGGAGCAGCCAGAACACGCTGAGAAGTGTGACTATTGCTTGGTTAGGTGCGTCGTGAAAACGGCAAATGTTCGCGATATTGCAATATAACAGTGAGTAAGTTTTCAGGGCTTATTACTCCCTTGCCATCTTTTTTACATTAACAATTGAAAAAATGAAGTACTCAAGAATTTTGTTTCCAGAATTCCCACAATAAATGGAATCTTCAATAATTTTAATGCTCTATTTTATGTTTGCAGAATAGCCGCATATGGTTTGTCCCCACAAGAAATATACGATTACATCATAAATGATTCAGAAGCTAAAGTCGTGAGTTGTCCATTGATAAATTCATTATAAACCTAGGTAATATATAATTCATTTGCCATTTTGCCTATATTTAAAGTAGACAACAATCCTGTATTAATAAGGATGTTATGCCTTTACTTTTCCATCTTTATACACGTACATTTTGACAACACTATCATATCGTAAGGACGAATCTATTAGAATGCCACAGATGTTGTAACGAATAAAAAATCCATAGAATCGCATTTCTAAAAAACCATTTAAAAATATCGGCAGGACGTTGTTACACGACTGCGCAATTTTACCTATAAATTTTATTAAAGCACACAAACAAAGCAATTGTGATAATGGTTGTTGAAGGCGCAACAATTAATAGATTGACTACGGTTAAAAGGCTCTTTTATAATGCTCAACATGAGCTTTATAAAAGTTTTTTTTTAAATGGAGCATATGCATTATTGATATATGGGTACACTGACCTGCAAAACTAAGTATCAGATTTAAAAAAAAATGTTTTCCTCAAATTTTATCGGCTTTCGTTGAAAGTTTAGTACAAAAAAACTCTTTTTCGAGAAGTTTTCATTTCGAAAGTATATCTTGGGTACTTAAAAAGTTATTGGAATGGAAGTGTGGACCTTAATTTTGCAGGCTAGTGTAGTTACTAGAGACGCTACAAAGTCTATATAATTATTTTTTACTGTCACTAGCTATGCAGGGATACTTATGGATAAACACACACTTTCTAGGTGTGTAACTACTGAAAAGAATCACAATCACATTGATATTTTTTCATTTCACAGGCATATGATAAATATTTAAAATGGCATTACGAACAGACGCACTGGGGCAAGAAAGAGAAGAAGCACATAAATGACCAAAAAGAGTTCAAAGAAGCGATAAGGGTGTACGAGGAGAGAACGAAGAAGAAGAAGATACAGCAAAAGAGCAGTGCCCTAACATTTAAGAAACAACCAGAAGAATGACAATACTTACTCAGAATACATGAATAAAGATGACAGAATTAAACATCGGCATTCTGACAAACCTAGACAAGTTATTTCGAGCACATTCACTGGACATTGGCATAATCTTGAAGGAACCATCACAGAACAAATCTAATCTAACAATGCCATCATTATAAAGAAATAAACCAGACAAAAGCAATATACACATAAATATACATACTAGATTGTTAACTACCTATAGCAGAACCGAGTCGAACTTATTACAGAAACTTAGATATTGATCTAACTAATAACTGCTGACGTGGCGTTAGATGAAAGATTAGCAGAAAAGCTGAACTACAAAATTGATAAAATTATACCTTAAAACGGAATAAACTATAAAATACTGACTTTTATTTATTTATTAGATAGAAACATTTAAATAACAAATACTTACTGTAGAATCAACCGTTATAACAACCCATGATAACAACATGGTATTTGAATATAAAGCAGTGTCATTCTAACTTTTGTACTTGAGTAATAATGTTTTATTTTCAGAGTTCATGAAACATTCAAGAGGCATGATAGAAAGCTATCCTACATATTTGCCAAATAAATTTGACAACGTTAACAATCCAATTTTACGAAAATTATTTAACGTGAAATGTAAAGGCAATATTGATACTTTGTTCGCGTTATCTCACTCGCAACCTTAACAGTTAAAAAATGTAATAAATAGAGATTATTCTAAATACTGAGCCAAACACGATTTTTATGCTGCGAACGACAGATAAGCCCTGCGAAATGGAAACCGAGCAAATAAAAACCTGAGTGGAGTGTCGATTTTACGTTGGGGCGAGGGCCGAAGTACCAAACCGCCCGCGCCCGCCCGTCGCATTTTTGAGATTTTTATCATCAACTTTGAATGCTAACGTGTGTTTACCGGACCGCTGATCTGGCAACTTTTATTTCTTTATTGCGCAAAAATGCTAACTTTCATCGGGTTGAGGGGGCACCACGTTTTTAGCAAGAACGTATTTGGGAATTTTGCTGTTGCTATTTGAAGCTAAAGGCTGTTTTGGGGATATCGATATAGTGTAGCAGCGTTGTTTTTTGTTTACACGCAATTTATAACATTTCTCTCTTCATTGTTTGTGCGGCTTTGATAATTTCTAAACTCGTGAAATAGGTATATGTTATGACGTTAGATTTTTATGGAAGCTGAAGACCGTGCAAAAATTTCGTATGTTTATTTTTATTAAAAGACAAAACCCAGGAGTAATTAATAAGGGAATGCTACCTTTCTTGATCCCCACAAGTAAGGATTATCTTTTTTCCCCAAATAACCCTGGGTTTTGAGTTTTTTGGAGAATACGGACAAGTCCAAGTCATTTCGCGCTTTGTAAGACACGTAAAACCGTTGGTCTCAGAGCTTCTAAAGCATGAAAGAACTCGAGAAAATAAATGTTTGATCACTCATCCTATAAGTAACGATTGCAAACGTTGCATAACCGCAGAAAGCCGCCGTTTTCATCAAAGTCATAACACCTTTGGATGCATAAAGAAGCCATAAAGTTAGTCAGTAAATGTTGTGTTCCCGTTGTGAATAAGGATTTCGGAACTCCACGACGTAGAGGATGGGTTAGGGCAGAAACAGACTTTTGAAACGCCACGTGACCCGTGTTGTGTCAAAACTAATCTACTGTTTTCCATGATTAGATGTATCGTGGCATCGCCTGTTCGTAATATGCACGGTGCAATATCGGTTGTCGACACGTGGAGTGGTGCCGCGTTTCAATAATTATTTTTCCGCCTAAACTTCGTCCAAGGGTCAATCACACAGAAGACAATGCGGGAATGATACGTACCTACTCTGATCTATATATTATTCTATAAAGGCCGCTTACCTTTGATCAGATCATGTTCACCACATTTTTCAAGTCTTAAGAAACAATAAGGAGCGAGTTATTGTTTTGATATTAGATAAATAAAGAATAATTGTTTCTTAGGTTTTCACGCACACCGCTGAAGGTAGCTCGACAAAGTAAATAAAATCATATTTCTGACGACGCATCTTGAAAAGGATGCGAAACGTCAATAAATAAATCATCATCAGCCTATTAATGTCCCCACTGCTGAGGCACAGGCCTTCCCTATGGATGGAACAGGGACATTGGGCCATGACCCACCACGCGGGCCCAGTGCGGATTGGTGGGTGCTAACGTCTGCACATGCAGCCGGGACCAACGGCTTAACGTGCCTTCCGAAGCACGGAGGAGCTCGAGATAAATTTTTGGTCACCCATCCAATGACTGACCACTGCGAAAGTTGCTTAACTTCAACAAACGCAGCCGAACGTGCTGACTACTTGAGCCATCGAGCTCCTCAATAAATAATAATAATAAATCAGTGCATCTATACCGTTGAAACTTGTTTTGATTTAAATAAAGAATAACACAATAAAATATCGCATAATGTATCCTTAAAAATATGAGAAAAGCCATGGCGACAGCAATAGTCCCACCCTTTTAATATTCCAGTGGTGTATTTAGAATTAATTTCAGTCGTTTAAATAGGTATTTCTGCGGATCGCCTCGGCCGGAGCGTAATTATTGTTTGACTTTCGTTCGCTTCGGCTCCACTCAACCCACCTACTGTTTGCATAGCTCAGTTTATTAAATTTAACAATTTTGCCAGTTAAATATTAACTGAAACTATTGTAAGCCCTGAGTTCGTTAATTTTAAGATTCGTATAGTCTGTATATATAGCGAAAGAATAGCATTTGGCGTTTGAAAACCTCAGGCGGCTAGAAATAACAAAATGAAATTGTAAGCGTTAGCGTTTTCCAAAGCATTTCCGTTAGGCCAATGGCCCCCAGCGCTTCACAGCGCTGGTCCTTACTGGTAACAGTTACATAAAGAAAGCAGATTGAAGCCTAGTTGTTCATTAATTTCAAAGGGCGGTGCCAGCGCTGACCATCGCTTGTCGGCACTTGTCGGCGCTTATCAGCGCTGGTCAATAGAAATGCTTGCGCCGGTTACCGGTAAGAACCAGCGCTGACAAGCGCTGGTCGGCTTCCAGCTTCTTTCTGTATACGGCCGTAGAATGCCGCAGCTTTTTATTTTTCGCTCAGTTAATACTTAAGAGCCTATTAACAGACTAGGTTTCGGAAAGTAGTAGAGCGGATGATTTTTTTTAGCTATGATGTTTGTTTTTCCATCTTACTTGCACGTCCAGGGTTTTACGGGGTAGAAGATTGGGGCCAGGGTAGGCAACGGCGGAAGGATAGTTTTGATATCGCAAGCGTCTATAGGCTATGACCACAGAACACAGAAAGAGGTAAGAAGTGCTTTGTGGGCGGGGCAGGCGCTGAGAGTAAATCCTCATAGCTTGACCAAAACTTGGTTCTGATTGCGTCGTTGCTCTCGGGTGTGAGCGCCGATTGGTTCAATTGTTTGATGTCGCGTCGTTTGATTGGCTATTATGTATTAGGTGCAAGTGTAGTGGGATTCTAACCTCTTTCTGTGTTATTTGGCTAAGACTATGATAGCTGCTTACCATCAGGCGGGCCACAATATGTTTGTTTGAGCCCCTTGCCGAAAGCCAAAACAGACGATAGATTATGCTAGTGCCGTTTTGACTGTACAAACTAACATAAAAACTGGTGTACTCCTTGTGCTAAGTGCACAAATGCTAATTTTTTACCGATCTAAGCAACCAGTTGCAGTCGTTTTATCGGTATTTCCTATGTAATTACCGATAATAGCCTGCGCAGACGCCCTTCGAATTGAATCACTTACAACTCATGGAGACCGTGATCGGTTACCATCAAGCAGTCATTAAATATAGTTACTACTTATAATTTTATTTTTAAAGCATGTTACTGCTCGATGTTTAAATCTAAAGAAAATATTACTAGAAAACATTCCACGCGGACCAGGCAGCAGACGGGACTCGAACCCGCACCCTTCACTATCCGGGCGAATGCATTGACCAATTATGCTACCGCGGCCCTGATAGCCGTGTCGAATTCATTCTAGCCTTTCCTAAGCTGCAAGACAGCGCCATCTCTTCGCATTGTTGGTAAACCACAATGTCAAATGAATACCTTTACAAGTATTAAACATTTGAAAGAAGAAATAGCAAGTATAGTTATTATAATTAAAGGTACATACTTCGCTTTTTATAATATTAATAAAAACACGAAATTTCTTTTATAAAATTAAACTAATAAATTTTTATATTCATTTAATACAAGTCAGAAGTTAACAATAGCCTCTTGAATGGATACAAATCGAAATTAATGAACACCTTTACTGCACACTAATAAAAGCGAAATTTTCACAGTGATTACGTCAACTGTTAATAGATAAATTGATAGCTAAAATTAAAAATAAGAATACTTTATAAAAGTTAATATAAATAGTAATGGTATAAAAACGTAAAAACAACACTCGACAGCAAAGATGTTGACTCAGCGAAGTTTCTTTAAAACTTTATCAACATTGAAACAATTGATGTTTAGAATTAAAATTGTTACCATTTTAAAGCTCGTCAATAAAACTAATAATTGGTTTGAATGCAACAACTTTATTTAGTTGTCTCAACCGATTCTATGTCATAAAAGAACTTTAAAGAAACGTAGCTTTATAAATTTTTTGCTGATATGTTTTGGAGTGTTCCTGTTCTCAAATGATTTTTGTTATTTTACAAAGAAATACATGCGTTGATCACTCTGCGTTTCGTTTGTAACATATAAAACACAATACATTGAAATTTATCATTTCAGTGTTAAGACATAATAATAAGAGCTAAATTATATTAATAAATACAACATGAAAATGCAAACAGGTGGGTTGATTGTTACGCTCGTCTAAATCGATTTAAATCTAATAAATCATAATCGCAATGAGCCCCTCTAGCATGACCACCGAAACGGGATAATGATATAGCGATATATCGGCATTAACTGTCAGACTACAGTGGAGTTTGACAGTAGTCTGAGAGTTAATGCCTATAATATATCGCTATATCATATCCCGTTTCGGTGGTCATACTAGAGGGGCAGGCAAGTATAAATATTATCATGTATACTTCTAATGTGGACTTTTAAAACATTTAGTTTCACTGCAATTTTTTATATAGGTTTTCAGAAAACTCAGTCTTGTCTCTTTCTATCCTGACACTTGGAAAAAAATTGTTACGGTTTTTTTTTTCAAACAATATTTATTTTGACTATTTACAGATTCAAAAGGAATGTTTTATCTATTTTCTGCGAAGAAAAAATAGAAGAATTTCGATATAAAAAAGTAGAAAAAGAAAACATGAATAACTAGTTATATCAGTTTTGGTGAAAAATCGTCCCAATTATCTTTTCTTGTTGTATTGCACAGTTTAAATCCAATTTTTACCACTTTCATACACCTGCCCCCCTAGCATGAGTAACAAAACGCGATATGATAAAGCGATTTATCGACATTATCTGTCAAACTACAATGGAGTTTGACAGTTGAGTGTCGATAAATCGCTTTATCATATCGCGTTTTGTTAGTCATGCTAGGGGGGCTGGTTTAATGTTAATTGTCATCGACGTTTTGGTGTAGACTATAAAGCCGCTTGTTTCATCCATAGTTAAAGGACATTGTTCAGCGTCCATACATAGTTAGCCTAAGAACCAACAATCATGATATATTATTTTCTTAGTTCGAAATCGTAAGTAAATGACTGTAAAAACAAAGATTATTGACGGACACTTCTGAGACTTAAATTATTAGGAAAACTAAAAATGTTTTGATGTTATGTTTAATATTCAATGAAACATAGGTCAACCTATGAATTTAGTATGAACTCAGTATGAAGTGAATTAATATTACAACTAATTCATTTTATTCGGTGCGATTTTAAATGAATAACTATTAGGAAAAACTTGGTTAGGTAGGAATCATGAATAAAATAAAAACTAGTTTTGCTTCTTATTTATTGACTATTTTTCATGATATTATTATGATAATTGTATCATATTGTTTAATGTATTTATTTGTATATCACATGTATATTATGTAAATATGCAGCGTGAATGTGTATCAGGTGTTCTTGAATAATTTGGTAGTATGATCCGATCCACTCAGGATGTTATGGCATAAGTTCACTAGCACTGGGTAATAAGGGCTCTGCCCTTTGGTAACATCGATGGCATATTAGATAGCCGAAATACTTAAATTAAAGGAAAAACAATCGCAAATAAACACACACAACAGGTATAATCCGAAACGAGAATGCACTTTCCGGTATATTATACTACTCTTTGGAATGCACGAATGCCACAGATTACTACAAATGCAAACTGCATGCACCACAACCACAGAGTAACGAGTTTTATGCCGGCCCTTCACTTGACAACAGTTTGTCCTTGTCATGCTTAATAAGGAATGAAAAGGACAGACTGATGTCATGTTTTAAAATAGCAAATACGAATAGCCAAGTGAAGTGCCGGCATTAGGAAGAAAGAGTGTGTTGTTTGCAGCGCTGCCATAGATTATACACATAAAATGGTATTTATTGTCTCAGATTATTTAATAACTTTTTAATTTAGCTTACTTAACTGGAAGTGTCCGTCACAATCTAAATACTGATAATTATCGCAAAAAATATACTAAGAATTATCATAAATGCCAAATTAGTGTTGGTTCTTAGGCCAATTTTAACATTGTCCTTTGAGTATAGTTAATGTCACGGCAAATACATAGTAAGCGTGAGTTGGACCACAGAGCTAGGGAAAGTAAAATTAAACTGTAACTTTAAGCGGTCTCGCTTGAACAGTTATTGTCACTGTCAAATAATGATCCCTCGTTTGATTATCGTCAAATGTTGAAAGCCATTTTTCACCTTACCGGTACTTTAACTGAACAGTCAAAGTTAAAGTAAGTTGGTGCAACTCACGCCAAATGTGTAAAATTTTGACAAATGGCTATTTTTTTCTCTAGTATTTTAACTACAGTCAAATTTAACTACGGATGATTTCACATTGAAAATTCCATAAAACAAACATATGAAAACCGCATAAAAAATCTTTCAGTACCCACGAACCATTATCGAATTCGAATAGTTTTATTCGATCTAGTTAAACGTCAAATGTGTACTGCTAATGCTATATAACGGCTATAAATTACTAAATACTTTTGTCAATAATTAAAATTCAAATTAACTAACCTACTTTTTAACAATTCAATGAGATCAAAAATCATTAGGACTTTCTTCAAACACACTCTGAATACGAATCTTGATTTAATATTCCCTCAACACTCTACATTGGGCGTTGCATTTAGAGTATCTTTTAGGGCGGTTGCTTACAGCAAGCGAGTCGATGTTAAGCGATGAAAGATGATCGTGTTTTGCTACTCCTTGTCTTACTGCTGGAAGATCTTCTTTCCTTTAAATTATAATTGTATATTAAATAAATATTTCCAACACTCATACCAATTAGCCTAGCCCCAAAGTAAGCACTGTAGGCTTATAACGCATAGAATACTTATAGTGATACTTAAATGAGTGTATTCATTTATATAGAAATACATATTAAACATACACGACTGAAACACAAATGCTCGTATTCATCACACAAAAATCTACCCCCACCGGGATTAACCTCTAGAGTAGGCGACACCTTGACACCCTGCGTACAAACCACTCGGCCACGGAGGTCGTCATATTAAATAACTACATTCAGAATTAAATCAGTCAAATTACCTCTCTTATTATAATAAGAGGGAATAAATGAATGAGAATCCACGTCAAATATAGGCAGCGGCAAACCTGTTTAACAAAACCACAAACAAATAAACTTGCGCAGTAGACGTTTTTTTGCATGTAAAATTACGTATACGCATGCTTCCTTGTCTATGGTCGATGCTCAGGAAGTTTTTCGGGGTGTATACCCGTGGTGGGGTATGGCCCAATATCCCTATTCCAGCCATAGGGAAGGCCTGTGCCCCAGCCGTACGGACTCGGAAGCGGACTCGCCATTTTGCTCGCGCTGCGTTGAAGCGTATAGTTCTGTCTCGCTCGCTCGATTGATGTTTATATACAGACGTGTGCGTGGCGAGAGTTGCTTATGTAGTTGAATCGGATCATATTTAATTTGATGCTAGTATGAGCGTACCGTATCTTCCCTTTTTGTTTTAATCTGAGACTATAAGGAGAATTTAGCAATAAAATTTACCTTATCACACCCGTTTGAAGGTAGCCCAGGAGGTGAGGCACGTGCTCTTCTACGATCTTCTTGCGTTCTTCAGACACTTCTTGACGCCTGATGAGAAATATTTTAGAAAGTGAGAAAAACTAAAGGAAATTTTAACGTCAAATGTAGGTTTATTTTAGGGTTCAAACAAAACAACTGCGTCATCATCATCATCAGCCTATCAATGTCTCCACTGCTGGGGCACAGGCCTTCCCTATGGATGGAATAGGGAGATTGGGCCATGCCATGGCCAAAAACTGTGTAATGATGTCGTATTATACAGATGTCGTATTATACAGATATTCTTAGGACCGCTACGAATTTGTGAATAAAGTCGCATCGTAGAGGAAAAAGGTAGTCATCTTTAAGCCGATTTTACATTTACAATAGTTTCATCCGTAATTAGTAGTTTTTCCTCTAAAATATACTTACAAATAACGATTTCTAACGTTTCATTTAAACTATATGAAATAAATTATGTATTGACGCTTTTACAACAATGTTTTGTAAATGTTGGTACATTAATATTTTAATATCGTGGTCAGTTTAAGCACACTTTTTTCCGCAGTTAAATATATGGAAACTTTTTTTGATCGATTGAAAAGATTTGTCTTATACATCCAATTTAAATAAAAATATATCGACTTAGATCGGCTTCACTCAGACAAGTCAATTAACTTTTTACTATGGCTAAAATGGATGACGTCTCTTTCTTTTCTCGATAAAATAGCATAAGACAACATGATAAATCACAAAATTAATGTGACGTTTATGAGTACGGCTGTCAAAGTCTTGACAATAATTTGAAGACTTACCAAGCTTTATCGCAGTCTCACACTTGCTTAGCGCGTCCTTCTTCCAGGTTCTTATCTTCTTTCCTCCTGCGAGTATTGTCTTCTATCTGTTTTAGCAACTCTTTCTCGTTTGTTGCGGCTTTTTTCGCTTCAATCAGCCAGTAGTATAGATGTAATTTACTGTGAAAAACTCACCAAGCTTTATCGCAATCCCACACTTGTTTAGCGAGTCCTTCTTTCAGGTTCTTATCTTCTTTCCTCCTGCATGTGTTGTCTTCCCTCTGTTTCGACAAATCTTTCTTGTTTGTTGCGGCTAATTTCACATCAACCAGCCACAGGTATAGATGTAATTTATTGTAAAAAAAAGACTTATCAAGCTTTATCGCAGTCCCAGACTTGTTTAGCGCGTCCTTCTTCCAGGTTCTTATCTTCTTTCCTTCTGCGAGTGTTGTCTTCTATCTGTTTCGTCCACTCTTTCTCGTTTGTTGCGGCTAATTTCGCTTCAATCAGCCAGTAGTATAGATGTAATTTATTGTGAAAAACTCACCAAGCTTTATCGCAATCCCACACTTGTTTAGCGCGTCCTTCTTCCAGGTTCTTATCTTCTTTCCTCCTGCGGGTGTTGTCTTCTATCTGTTTCAATAAATCCATGGAGTAGGCTTGAGCTTTCTCTTTGAGCTTGCGTTGTTTCTCCAACTCTTTCTCGTTGTCTGCGGCTAATTTCGCTTCGGTCTACAAGAGATTAGGAGAATATTGTAATAAATAATATATTTTTCTAACTAGTTGAAATGCACGACTTCGATTGCTTTGTATCATTTTTATTTTCCATTTTTAGAATCTAATATTTTTTGTGATAAAAAGTAGGTAGGCCCAAATACTTTATACTGACAGATGGAAGTGATAATCATCGAGCTATTTATTTATCCACTACTGCTTTATTATAAAGCCACTAAGATACGTGTTCTGAAAAGCATCGAAGGATATGCAATTTTCCGGTAAGCCATAAACATTTGTGTACCAAAATTTCATAATAATCCGATCAGTAACAAACATACAAACTTTCACATTTATAATATGAGCAGGATAGTAGGAATAGTATCGACGGCCGTCCGCGACTTGGTCACGTCAATTTTATTTTATGAGAACCTATAGGAACCTTACATTTTTCCGGGATAAAAAGTATCCTGTTTACATTTATAACAAACATTAGTAGGTTGGGATTTTGTGCCATTGTACCTATTTTAAGGTGGATCTACTACAAAACTATTGTTTTCGATTATTAATTCTTATTTCTGTGCTAATTATTTAATTACTTAGATGAAAATATGTTTAATAAATTATAGTGACAAGATATAAATGTTATAATAATATCGACTCGATATTATTTGTTTACTTTAGAGAAAGGTGAAAATGAAGTGATACATAAAATACTATATTAATCGTAACACCTATAATGTTACATACATTATACCTACTAACCTTCATTTTACAAATAAATAATCTCATAAAAGAAAGGCTAGAAAGAATTCGACACGGCCATCAGGGGCGCGCGGTAGCATAATGGTCAGTGCATTCGCCCGGATGGCAAAAGGTTCGCGTCCCGTCTGCTGTCTGGCCCGCGTGGAAATTTTTCTAGTTATATTTTCTTTAGATTTAAACATCGAGCAGTAATATGCTTAAAACAATAAAAAAAATAACAAACAATAAATAATATGTTTCTGATTCTGAAACCTCACCTGATTCCTGAACTCCATTTCTCTCCTCTTATGCTCGGCTTCTTGCCGTCTCTTAGTCTTCATCTGCGCAGTGAGAGCGTCCTTAGTTTCAATCTTCACGCGTTCCATCTTCTGTTTCTCTGCGACGTCGTCTTGGAAGTTCTTCTCCAGGTATTCTTGTTCTTGCAACTGCTTGATTATGCTGTCGCGTTCTTGACGAGACGCCTGTGAAAATTTAAATGAACTAGTGTGTGCCCGCGATGTTGTAAAAATTGGTTTCTGATACAAACATCATGGATGATTAATTGGATATAAATTATCCTATATCCTTTCTCGAAATTAATTACTTTAATTATATAACAATAATTAATTTTTGAATATGAATATACCAAATTCTATGAGCTAAATCGGTTTAGCAGTTTAAGTGTAAAGAGAATGTTGTTACCTCTTGTTACAGACAGAGAGCCAAACAAACAGACAGACACACCTTCCCATTTATAATAATTTCATTAAACATGATACATTAAGTGATTTTACCATTGTGAAGTGCTCGATGGCGCAACTAGTTAACGCGTTTGGTCTGCGATCGTGGAAGTTAAACAACTTTTGAAAAAGCCGTTATCGGATGGCCGACCAAAAATCTTACATCGAGTAATGAAAAATGCATTTTTTTGCAATAGATGCCGCTAGGTGCACTTAAATGTGATTCATGTAAGTTGTTTTTTCTGAGAGATAAACTTTTTAATGTAATATAAATTGTCATGTTTGTCTACGATAGCGCAATAAATAAATATTGTATTCTACCACATAAATGATAGTACTTTTATACTGATAATAAAAGCAATTCCAAAATATCAAAAATGCACAACGTTAATATTCAAGCTTTCACATCTGCCGGCACTCCCGGAGTGCAACCCGTCGGTTTTTTTCCTCAATCGGTCTTATACCATCTTTACTGACCTCATAGCCTAAAAATTCTACCATTGGCTTACCAGAACTACATTTTTCAAATAAATCGTTATACCGAATTTTTCAAATCTCTCAAATACTTGCTCTAAGTGTTCCCTATGCAATGTGACGTCATCGCTTGTCGCGTTTGTTACGTCATCAATATAGCAGAATAACACAGAACTACGATCACTATTTTTACTCTTAGTGTTTAACATTTCTATTCCCTGTAAGACAGTGTTATTCATCCATCTCTGAAATGTCTGCGTGGCATTACGCAATCCAAAACTCATTGTTGTCATCGCTGTATTCCATAATGATGATGAACTCTATTAGATACCCAGAACTAAGCCTAAATAACTATAACTATCTAACAATCTTTCACCCTACTATAATATGCTTACTCATATCATATTATATTTATTAAGAGTTAACAATTATACTATCTTTAAAAAAGAAACAGATGCCAGTTTGAATATTGAGCATATTTTGTAATTAATGCCTATTTTAAATAATTTGAACCTATAGTTCGTCTGATTATCGCTGGGCTTGTCAAGAATAAGTAAAAGTCGTTCTCAATGCTATACTTGTTGTTAGTTTCACTTGCCATGCTAGCTTTGATTAAACTGTAAAAAAAATAAAAGTAAATATTCCGCAACAAATTCTTGCTGTTAGCTGAATGCACAAACCGTGCATACCATATAAAAGAAAGGAGAAGAATGAGAAATTCTTGCTGCGAGAAGTGATTACGACACGGCATTGAGGAAATTCAATATTTTCCCTCTGATTTGATACCCATATCGAGAGAGTTGTGAAGACAGCAGTAAGACTACACTTGTTTTTAAGGAACAAACATCAGAACATACATAACAGTATTTTTGAAATTTATAATATAGCAGGATTACCTCGTCGGCCAGTATTTTGGCGGTGATTTTCTCATTAAGCTCTTCTTTAACCCTTAGTTTCCGTTCCCTTTCTGCAATACTGTAAACATTTAGAAACAAACCACACTAATATTATAAAAGCGAAAGTTTGTGAGTGAGTATGTTTGTTACTTCTTCACGTCTAAACGGCTGGAGCGATTTTAATAAGATTTGGTATGGAGTTAGCTGACACCCTGGAATTAACACATAGGCTACGTTTTACTGCGGGAAAATATCCCTAATTAACCGCGGGCAACACCGCGGGGCACAACTAGTGGTTATAGAAAGTGCTTAATTATAGTTTAACGACCGGTCAGTGCAACCGTAGCAAAGGTCTTAAATTCATATTCCGATTGAGGCATGTATTTGTGATAAGGACAAATATTTGCTTCCAAATAAGAGTTTTTTATGTAATAGAAGCTCAAATATGCATTACTAAGCAAGTAAAGTTTGCAATTGTGGAAGTTAATCAACTTTCTCAATGGCCCATTATAGGATGGATGACCAAAAATTTGTTATTCCTTCTCTCATAGTTACATCTGCAGTCGTTAGCACCCACTAATCTGCAATGGAACCGCGTGGTGGTAAGGTAAGGCCTGTGCCCCAGCAATGAACATATAAACAGGCTGCTGATGATGATACGTTATCGATCGATCAATCATTCGTTGAAAGTTTTCATATTTCAAACTTTGCTTGGCTTTGGTCCAAAATAATTTCTTGTGGAAATATGTTATCATTTTTTTTATTATCAATAAAGTTATTCCCACATTTTACACCTTAATATCAAGCAGAGTATCAGTTTATAAGAAAATTAATTATTATTTATATAACTCTATCGCTTACTCGAGGGGTCCCAGGTTCATATCCCGGCGGGGGCAGATGTTTGTGTGATGAATATGAGCATTCGTACTCCAGTCATGGTTGTTAAATATGTATTTCTATATAAATATACTTATGTATGTATCAGTATATGTATTCTATCCGTTACCCTAGTATCCCATAACACAAGCCTACAGTCAGACCACTTCCCAGTGGGCACTTTGGGCAAGTACTCAGGGCCCTGCGATCGATAAGGGGGGCCCCTCAGATCAAATACAAAGTCCCTAGTTCCTGTTAAATCACCAAACGGGGATCATAGGGGCCATTATCCTAATATGCCCATTGCCCCCAATAGGTCAAAGACGGCACGCCTACAGTGCTTGCTTTGGGGTTAGGCTAATTGGTGTGAGTGTTAGAAATAGTTATATTATTATTTATCTTTAATTACACAGCAGCATTCCTATCGGCAGCGGCCCTTCGCTGCCCTTCGATATCCCTCTCTTCAGCTACCACCACCTGCTTCTGCTTCTGCCGCCATGCTTCGCGCGCTGCCTGACAAGATACCATTTCCCTGCGCATCTTCTCAGTCTGCTCGCGCTTCTGTTGTAACTCCCTACCGAGAACATAATAATAAATGGTGTTAATAGGTTACTGATAAAATCTCCTCCGTGCTTCGGAAGGCACGTTAAGCCGTTGGTCCCGGCTGCATGTGCAGTCGTTAGCACCCACCAATCGGGTCATGGCCCAATCTCCCTATTCCATCCATAGGGAAGGCCTGTGCCCCAGCAGTGGGGACATTAATAGGCTGATGATGATGATGATGATGAAAATCTGCAAGTTTTGGTGTAAGTCATCATACATATGAGTATCATAGTATGCCTGTATAAGTTATGTACTTAGCTTCGTAGTTAACGTCTGCGCGTGGCTGTGTAAACGTTTCAAGAGGTAAACAATTTAAGAAAGTTAACTATTTTTTTAGTCCTTATTTGATCTCACTGTGTGTGCACGCGTGTGTATGTAACTTATGTGTGGCTGTGTGTATGTGCATGTAGATAATATTTTGTTGAATAAGATAGGTTTTTATACATGTGTGAGGCTAGCGGTCAGGCACAGTCTCACACGTCGAGGGGGGGATGCCTGGGTGCTTCCGAGCATCCCCCCGACCGCCAAGAGGAGGAGGACCTCTACCGGGGGTAACGTGGAGAGTCACCAGGACCCCCCCCCCCCTCCCCGAAACCCGTTCCGGCAGGCGAGGAAGTACTGTAGGGTTTTTAGTGGGTAGGCCCCCCCTTATCCCTAGCAGCCGCTGAACCAATTTCGCTGAGCGGATGGGCGGAATTTGGGGACAGGAGGAATCCCACATAACCCTGTCTCTCACCCAGGGGTGGATTATGAGTCACGCATTTTCCCAACAATAAAAAGAAAGGTTTTTATAAATGTAAGAGATTACTACGAGAGCTGCTGCCGACAAACTGTTACACAGTTTGGCAGATGTAGACATATTGTTAACTTGTGGAATGTTGTGGGAACAATAAAAAAAATATCATAACCATTATTTATTAAGAGTGACCACGAATAGGGAGTGCGTTTTCCTAGAGCTTGCATACGAGCGCACGTCGAGTAAAAAAACGCGGTAAACTTAATTGAATGTCGCCCTTTGCATTCGTAAATAGACGATAAAAATGCTTTTTACTATGAATGTATTCTGCAACATAAAATATAGTACGCACTCTCTTGTAAATAAGAACACTATAATAGATCTTATCAAGGACGTTAAGTTTTTAGGGTTCCGTAGTCCTGACAAGGAACTCTTATAGTTTCGTCATGTACGTCTGTCCGTTCCCGGTTTTGGTTGGAGACTATTAGCACTAGAGAGCTGTAATTTTGGAGAGAGGAAACAAACAAAATCGGCGGTTATCATTCGAATTTAAAAAAAATATAAATGTCGAATTAATTTTTAGTTTTGTTTCGAGAGCGTCTGTGATAATACAATATTGAATAGAATGTTTTACTAACCTCTGATCTTCATCAGCGATAGTGCGCATAATATCATCAAGCATCTTCTTCTCTATGAGAGTATCTTCGTACTGGCACTGCTTCTGAAGCTGCCGGTTCACCAGTTGTTGCTGCAGGTCGAGGCAGTATTGGTCGGTACGCTTCTTCTTCTCCGACTCCTCTTGGTATTTGGCTTCTTTATCATTGTAAAGAGCATTTAGGAGGACCCTGTTAGCGTGTTGCTCTTCTGCCTGATAAATAAACAAGCAGTTACATTTCAGATAATGTAATATATTTTGTACACTTTGTTTGAAATACAGAATTATAGGAGTGGTAAAACTAGATCCAATTCATACAGACTTTTTGAGGTGTGTCTGATAAAGTAAGTATATGTATTATTTGTCTATTAATCAAAGAAAGGATATCCTAAAGGTCTGTTTTAAAATGCAGAATGCTCATTTATTTGTATTACAATAAACCTACGAATAAGTCTCCTCCTGTCTTTGTCAGTGGCAACATCAATACATTTTTTCCCTCAGCCAATACGATATCATCTGCCCATCTTTTTCTTTGCTTTCCCGCTCTTCTTTATCCAGTTTAGCCTGGCCATTTGGTTATAAGATTTGTCCACCTTTGATTCTGATATCTTACTATATGACCTACCCACCTCCAGTTTTGTTTCAAACTAAACTGCAGGGGGCATGTGTTATCTTTGTTCTCTTGCGGATGTCTGTATTTCTTGTTTTTTGTATTCTTTTTAATTTAAAATACTTGTCTTGGCATTATCTCGAAAATACGAAGCTTATACCCTTGGGGACCACTAATGTGGGATAAAGCTAAATAATAATAATAAATCTTCGTAATAGATAGAAATTAATGTTTTACTTACCACAATCCTTTCATATAAAAAGGAAGCATTAAAAAATAACTTTAAATTACTATTTTTACATAATAATCTTTGCTACAAACTATTGTTTTGTGAGTGTTGGTCTCAAGTTATCTAGGCTGCAGTGTGACTGACATTAATGACTATATCGAAAAATGGTTAAATATGATGTAATTTATAATTTTTATTTTTTAAACATGTAACTGCTTGATGCTTAAATCTAAAGAAAATATAACTAGAAAAAATTCCACGCGGATCAGGCAGCAGACGGTACTCGAACCCGCACCCTTCGCAATCCGGGCGAATGCACCGACAAATTAGTCACACTGCAACCTAGACAAGCTGCGATTTTCCCCTTTGTACAGTGTAAGCTTCAATTAGATGTCTAGACCTAGGTACTAAGTATCCAAAAATTTACCTTCAGCTGCAGTTGTTTGTACTCGTTATTCAGAATCTGCTGTCTCAGATCCCGGCACACATAGCCAGCTTGGAGTTTCTTCGCAAGCTCTCTTAGGCTCGGGTCCCTCTCTCTCAAGTAGTGCCTTCTCTGTAGCTCACAAACCTCTTCACGTCTCACTTTAGCTATTTCTATACCTAGAGCTATCTCTTTCTCTGCTCGAGCATTCACAATGGCAGCATGGTCTGTCCTCTGGAATTAACAAAAATGCATTACAATTTTCATTCAAAAAGAATTTAATACAAAGCAATCAAATCCTTTTTAATGAAAATTGTAATGCTCTAAAATCTTTTAAGTCAGATGATTGAAATTGCAAATGTAGTAAATATTATGTGCCATCATTTGAACTAGTTATAATGTCAAATAGGTTCAAACACATTTTTTTTTAATGTGGTGATACAAAGTTTCAGTATCCTAATAACCCAATATCAACACCCGTTTGTATGGCTTTCTCCTTTTTTTGAGATCAAGTTCAAGAGATCCGAAATATAGTACCTGCCTAAATATCTCAATGTATACTTAAATACGCACATGAGGCACATGAACTAGGCTAATATTATATGTAGAGAGAAAAGATTTTGTATTATCATATGTTTGTAACAAATACACTCAAAAAGTACTAAATTAATTTATACAATTCTTTGCTTAGTAGAATGCTACATTATTCCTGAGTAACATAGGCTCTATATTAACATATTAAAATAAATTTCACCCACGCAAAGCCAGGGCAGTTCACTAGTTCCTCTATAAAACTAAATAATTCAAAACCTAAAGAATCCTGCCGTAGACGTAGAAGACCATCATGCAGTAGGAATGGTTGAGGACTGCATGGTTGTTTTTTTAATAGAGTTTTCTTTAGGTTTTTTTTTCATGCAGTTAAATACATGAAATTAAAAATATGGAATGTATTATATTGTTGTTATGTTATTGAGTGTGTACAAAAATAAATAAATGAATAAATAAATAATTAATAATCCACAACCTCTTGAAAGTCTTTCTCCATTTCGGCTTCTTTCTTTATCAGTGCTAGGCAGCGGCCCATACGACCGTCTTCCATGCGACTATTCAACCATTGGATGTCCAGCGCCCGCTGGTAAGTCTCCAACTCTGTTCTTCGAGCTTCAGCAATCGCATTCTTTTGTAATTCGTTTTTGGGCTCCTAAGTTATAGAAAATTAGAAACATTTTGATAAAGTACAAGTTAAAAATGTAACGATAGAAAACTTTACTTAATCATCTGAGAATACTTTCTTACCATATTTTGTGCAGGTTTAAAATAGTTTTAGTAATAAAAAAGCAGTGCTGAGAATCTAGAAATTCGAAAAAGTAGTTAAATTATTAAATACGATACGTAGGTAAACAAAAACATTTGAAACTGTCAGATTCTTTTTTTTTTTGTTGAAGATCTCCCGTTTTAGGAAAGGCAAAGGGAACAATACCCATACAGCCTGGTCTTTAATTAAATTAATCTTCTTTTGGTTTTTACTTTTTACATTAGAATGTCGGTGTGACGTATTCTAATGTTTCTTGGAGTGTTTGGCACGAAATGTATCGAGTTGGCTTTTTCGATAAGCTTCTGTGAGGTAGTCAACACTACAATAAAATTCTCAAGTCCACTTGACCGGAATAGCGTATATTTTAACGATTCCACTAATTCTTCAGTTACGCAGACAGTTGTTACACAAAACCACACCAATTTTATTTCACAATATCCACTATGAACGAATTTAAGAATAATTAAAATAAGACGCCAACCGCACTCGATGAAATCCCGCCAAAAACTCTCCTGTCCGTCAGATTCTGATGTCAAAATGACTTTTTCATTCATCTGTGACTACGTACTTATGTTGTCAACGTCTCTTAAGCTTAGAGCATATAAGCAAGGAACATAGTAGTTCCTTGTGTAAATGGGTGCGTTTAGCGTACAAAAAGGCTAAGCAGCATAAAAAGAAAAATAGCGATTGCTAAGTAGCACTGGAAAAAAAAACAAAATAATAATAATTTAATTGTTTAAATTGTTAATTATTCTTATAAAAATTCTAGCACTCATCGCTAACTTCAGTTGAATTAACTAAAGTATTATATAGTTTCCGCCGATAATGCTAGCTTAGCATAGTCTACTGTCAAGCATTCTCGAATGCTGCTTTTTTTTGTCCTCTGGCTAAAAACGCCTAATGACATGCCTGCCGCAGGGACAATCTAGGGTGTAAGAGTGGGGATGACCCTTAATTGCCTCCGAATTGTGATGTGTGCTGCCTACACAGTTGGGGTAATTTTCTAAATCGGGCCTGCTATATATATACTATAAATTTATCCCGAACGTAAAAAAAGTTAATAATTTGACCTTCAGACTTGACATAGCATACACAAAGTTAACGTCACACAGTAGACGTCATCGAACCGAGCGTTTTGGCGGTAAATTCAAAACCATTAAAAATAAATTCAACTTTAATTGGTTTAATGGAGAATTTTCTGTTAAATTGTTTGTCCCCAATCTTTAAATATAAGCAGTCTTTAAAAAAATGGAAAATATCTATCTATATCGGTATAATTAAAACTTTATATGAAATCTGCGCGTGTCTTAGTCCAACCACCTTAATTTAGGAGCGATGAATGCATTTATTACACTAAGTTTGAGTAATCCCATCGATTTATTTTAATTTTAGTCACAATATTGAATTTAAATTGAATCAGATGGTTCAATCTCGATAGCAAGTCCTTTGAATATTTTTTTAATAATTATTTGTATTGATTTATATTCCCATTTAGTGATTTAACATTTTTTTCATAACGCGGCTAAAGAAGTATAACTTCAAAAAACAAATAATCACATTTATTAGTAAATCATTAATTATTTTAAAACAGGGTAGCAAAAGGTCATGTGCGATTTTTTGCATGTACAGGTCTAAACCATTTTCTCTGGGGATATAATAAAGTAATGGTTTACGCACGCAAAACAAACATGGAAGCAGAGCTGTGAAATATTAAGGCAGTCCGAAACAAAACTACATAAAATAGTACTAATAGTCTTAGTAGACTGAAGCAGATTTTTTTAAGACGTAGTAGATTGTGTAAGCGAAAGGAAGCATTTTAAAAATTTATTGTGAATAAAAATCAGTTATAACGGTTTCAATTGTTTTATTTATTATGAATGGTAACTTTATCATACTACAGCGAATCCAATTTTACAATAGGCATTTTTCATTAATTTAGAAAAATATTATTAATTTTTTACTTTATCGGCAGTCATGATATTTTTTTTACTGGGTTTATTTATAACTATCTGCTGTTGTCCACGATTTAACCTGCGTGTAATTTGTTTATAGGAGGACTTCATATATAGCTAGTCATGTGGCGTGGTAAATAAAATAGACACGTATTCATTTAAATCCATCCAGCTGTTTAGCAGGAGAGGTAACCAACATACACAAACTTTTACATTTACGACATAATTTGTATTGTGTAATATCCATGAAGCTATAGTAATAACTGGAGGCCAAACTCAGTACTATTAGTTGAAGCCAAGTAGGTATGACCGCAATTGACCTTTCGTTGGACTTCTGGGTGGCTATCTTATAAACGTAAATTTGCCCGAGACCATAGGCATATTCGCTGCTTTATTTTAAGGCCACTAAGATGACTTGTTCTGAAAAGTATCGGTGGATTTGCAATTGTCTTTTTAGTTACACACTCTAACCCCCTTATTAATAAACGAAGACTACGCTTTGATTAGTTAGTTCATGATTTGTCTCTATCTTTTGAATGACAAATGGCACTCGAGTGACATGAACAAAACACGCCGTAACTAGTCTAAGCTTATTCCTTGTTTCTTAATAAGGGGGTAAATGTAAAAAAAAGTTAACGAATAGGCCGGCAGGCCCCATCAGGTCAGTTACTGATATTAGCTATTTTAGACATTCAATTATAATTTATTAGTTAGCAAATCTCTGTTTAACAAACTTTTTGACAACACTAATACGCTTGACGACCTCCGTGGCCGAGTGGTTTGTACGCCGGGTTTCATGGCTGTCGCCGACTCGAGAGGTCCCGGGTTCGAATCCCGGTGGGGGCAGATGTTTGTGTGATGAATACGAGCATTTGTACTCCAGTCATGGATGTTTAATATGTATTTATATAAATATAGTTATATATGTACAGTATATGTATTCTATCCGTTACCCTAGCATCCCATAACACAAGCCTTATAGTGCTTACTTTGGGGCTAGGCTAATTGGTGTGAGTGTCGGAAATATTTATTTATTATTTATTATTTAATAATATGAACTCTTTGACGTTAACATTATTAGACTTGAAAGTTTATCTATGAATTAGTTTGTAGATTAAAACTACTCTGAAATCGAATCCAAGATGAACGATTTATAATATTATGCAACCCTAATATTTAATTAAACCTTTACTAAAAAATTGTACGCAAATATAATATGCAGTTACATTAAATAGAAATTCGTGACCTTTGTTGACTCATTTCAATCTAATTATTCAATATTCAATATTATCGTTGTGGAAATCCATGGGGGAGGCCTATGTCCAACAGTGGACATCTTTCGGCTGAAATGATGATGATGATGATTCAATATTCCCGAGTTATTTTAAAATCTGGTGAATAATTACTAAAACTCCTTATTTGTAAAATTATATTCCAGTATAACAATTACAATTGTTATGGTATAACAATTGCCTTGATTAAATCATCGGATTTTTTTTCTTAATTTCCCTATTATTGTGGTAGACGGCATTTTCAAACAATGGTAACACAGCATGTGTCAATATGGTGGATGTCAATATCTAATTTTGTCGACTCGAAAGTTGTGATTCATATTAGGACTTTTCTCGCTATCAAAACGTAAAAAATGGTTCAAAAATGTGTAGGGCTAGGTTGTGGAAGTAAACACTATCCTGGATATTTCTTGATATTTCACAGGTGAGTCATAAGTTATCTTAATTGATAATTGCTTACATTTTATCAAAAAAAAATCTTTTTAACACTTATTTTAACATAAAACCCATTATTTTTCTATCATTTACTTTCCAAATTCCTATTATTCAAAGGTTTCGGTACTAATATTTCAGAATTTTACTAACTAAACAACAATTGGCATTGTGAAATAAACACTAAAAGGGTGACCATGAAACGCGGATAAAGTGGTTTTCGTAATACGAAAACCCTTAAAATAGGACAGAATTATTTTATTAGTACGCGCACATTGTAAAACACTTATGTTATTATATTTTATTCATGTTACGTATTTATTGTTGCCTTCATTGCTATTAACAATAAAACACAAACTTACTATTTTTATTCTATTTTTAGTTTTCCTAAGGAACCAACAAGGAGAAGCCAATGGCTATCAAGTATAAAGTGTATGAAAGTGCAAAAATATGCAGTAATAATTTCTGTGGCTACTGGTTATATATAATGGAGAATTGATTAAAACATACAGCTATTCCTTTTTATTCTGATGTGGTAAGTAAAAATCTATGTATATACTTCAGCCATCTTATGGAAAGAACTTTTATAAGCAAACCCATATTTAACTTAAAAAATAAGTTTTTTATTACATGTTTTAGAAATATTTGTACTTCATTAATAGTTTACTTATATTGTTCAAGTGTGATATATGGCACTAGAAGTCTCTATTTGTAGAATAATTACGAATTGTTAAATTTTTTGTTTACATACATTCTTGCCTAGCTAAGATGGCTGGAGTACCTATAGATTAGAGTCATACATCCGGGCAAACGTACATGCATGAAATAAAATTATGATGATGACGTTTATTACTTTATGAGGGAAACGCCAAAAACGTCATAAAACTGTACTTTTTAGTAACTTATAAATGTAAATATTAAAATGATTGTGTATTTATAACCGTTGTTTTATTTCTATCTACAAAATATAAATTACACCTGAGAATGTAAGAAAAGCAATGTGATGAGTAAATCCGTGGAGTGACGTGACATAGGTGTAAAATATTTGCTGAGAGCTTATAACAATAAAATTTGGTAGGATTGTAGGTGAGGAGAAATTGTGTTTTATTCTGCATCACACCGCCTGGCAAATACTATACTAAAATTAATTGATGAATGTGAAATACGGTACCTATATTATTTTCATTTTAAAGTCGGTTCATTTAAAATATTGGTCTGTAAGTATTAAATTTCCGTTTTGTATGAAGAATTTTGTGCAAACCCGAATTTCCATACTACTAAGTTTTTGATTAATTTGAAATTGGCTTGTATTATTTGTTTTTAAATAACATTGGGTTAAATAAATTAATTTAGATTCTAATGTAACACAATCTTTCCTAAGCAAATAAAATGAAAAAAAAAATATCAGTTAAGTAAACAATAGCAAAATTAATGTAAATCTATAATTAACAATGGCCATTTTACTTTGATACATGATTCCGTAATTAATATCTTCGCCAATGTGTAAATTTTTGATAAATAAACACAGATATTAATACGTTTTTTACTAGTTTAAAAAAACTTGTCTCCTTTCCTTAGTGGTTGTGTGGATACCCTATTTAGAAAGAGAGGAGGGGGACCTACGGAGCGAGATAGAATGCAATTATATTTGCTTCAAGTAGGTATGGAGGAGTTTGGCCTCCAGTATTATCTATAACTTCATGGTAATATCCCTAATATTAGAAAAATCTCAATGGCAAAAATCACTTTTATAGAATATCCAAATATCGTTACAAAATAACTTGTGTTTATAAAGATAAATCGATATACAATGGAGCAGACTTAGGGTACCACTATGTAAAGGCGCCATTTTCGTTTCCCAATAACTTTAGATAAACACGTATTTTCGTAGTTATGCCATCTTGATAGGTTTCAGTACTCAGAGCTGATCACGATTATCGATAAACCGGGCCAGGGAGAGACATACTGCAGAGGCCGCTTGTCTGTCTGTCTGTAAGATGACCATTAATCCATAGACGTACAAAATAATTATTTCAGATTCTTTTTTTATAGCGAAATCCTGCGTCCATGGTATTTCTCATAACTGCCATCTATTGTTGAGTTTGTACATTACTTACCATGTCCTAATTTACACTACTATCCGCCATCAGAGCGCTAGTGTGTAAATTTCTGTCATTCGCGCTGCAGTACGGCACGGTAACAGCACGCTTCTATTTTCTATTTGGATTTTGACGTGTGACGACAAACAGCTGCAGCTCAGGATTCGGTTGCAGATCGGTGGTGAATAGTAATTTAGACAGTCGGTAATGAAAAAGTGATTGAAATGGCTGAAAGTAAAGGTGCGTTAATCGCGAAATCAGTGCAAAAACATGCCGGACGAGCCAAGGAAAAGGTAAATATTTCCTTAAAGTATTTTTGTAAAGATAATGTTATGATGTTATTTAAGTTTCGCTAATACTGTGCCGCGAAAGTAAGTTGCTCTGTGATGGATGTTGAAGCCAGGTGTAGTATCTCGTGACTCGCTCTGTAGCCGGTTTTCATAGGGCCTGGATTTCACCTGTTGCTTTTTGACACTATACTAGTTGGAGAAGTCACCTGTGTGGTTTCGATGCGCGGTAACATTGCATTCTTACACTTACGCGTGTCAGTTTTAGTATATTGACCGCACAGGTTTGCATCTTACGTTTCCAGGGCATGAGTGGTAACTATTTTTAGGCTACAGCAGATAATTTTGGACCTGTCACTGTTACACCATCTAGAAATGCTATTTGTGTAGTCAAAATTTACCAATCGGCTTCACTATTTTCTGTTAAAAAGTTTCAACTAAGTACTACTCCCTCAGGTTACTTCTTTTGTGTCCGTCATATGCAAAATGTAGTTGGGAAGTGAACTAATTTAAAAATAACATTGGTAGTTGAGACAGTTGCTAGCGGGGACAGTCGAATGTCTGCTCTACTTTCGCAGAAATAATGTGGTTATTTCATCTCATCTATTTTTATGTAGTCTTTGCCGGTTCTCAGTGGATGTAACCTATATAAATTATCTGATCAAATTGCTATTTAGTTTTTCCTGAATTCTGAGCTCTAAAGTTCATAACTGTAAAGATTTATTATGTTAAAGTTCTAACAATAGGTGCAGTTTGACAAACCACTATTATAATTGATTTCTAATTTCAATTCAGTGTGAAGAATAAACTCCTGTCAAAAAACGATACCTATTTCATGAACAAGATATTTTGATAAATTTTATAATATTGTTTATGACTATTAAGTCAACTTATAAAAGATAATTTATCCTAAGAGCTTAAAGACCTAGATTTTAATGATGCAGTAGGCTAATGACCTAAGTTGGCAAGCATCCTATTTGTCTTCAGACATACTTCATAGCTTTGTAAACTGTTCCATGTACCTATTCTTGTCACCAGTATTACGGATTTTAATTTGACAATATTTGCAGGGTTAGCATTGGATTTTGATTTTGGAGTGATAATTTTCCTCTTATAATTTGTAAGGGTTGAAAAAAATTTTGAAAGGCAACAAAAAAAAAGGATTCCTAGTAGACAATAAAAGGAAACAAAATAAAAAAAAAATAAAAAAAAAACATTTTCTCATGTGTGTCCACACAGTAATATATAGTGTGATACAAAAAAATATCTTTTAAGTATCTTAGACTATCTTTGCAAGCTCTTAATCTTAAGATAAACTGACTTAATCATTTAGCGAATAAATCTTTTAAAAATTAAGATAAATATATATTATAAAACACAGAAAATAAACACAATAATATGCTTAAAACTATCTTTAGAAACATTCAAATTCTTGTGATTATGGTTGTGTTTAAAATAAAATATTTTACTATTACCAGCATATAAGTCACAGATACCTTAGTATTTAAATATTTCTATATTATATTAATGTATATTACCTGTTCTGTTAAATAATATATTGATGCTGTCACCTAATTTTCTAACATGAAACTGAAACTAGCAGTCGACATTTTCTCGAAACAAAATATTTTTACTACTAAACTATTAGAGTATCTTGGCTGTAATTACGCCTACTATTTCTTCGCCCTAAAAAGAAGTTCTTGGGCAAATTTCAGCAAGTTCGTATGTGTAGAAAAAGAGATACAGCTTTTTAAACAATAAAAAATCATTCTCCTGGGAGAAAATATTTTTTTACAACTAAACTATAAGAGTTTTAGATCAAATAGGCAGTAGGTCTGAAATAAGAGTTCCTATCTCTAAAAACTTAGCAGTAAATATAAGTCAGCAATTTTAAATACTATTATGTGAATCAGTAACTAGAGCCGAACTTTTCTGAGTGATAACATAAATAGGTACATACATATCTTGAAATATGTTTTGCAAAAATAGTTTTTTAGGTACTAACCAGCTTATCGGTGCGTAAGAACTATGTGCGAATCTCAGCTTTATTGGAATTCAGTTAGTAGAGAACTCGAAACCCACAAATACGCGTCATATTATGTAGAACGTTTCAGTGTTTGTTTGTGTTTCCACAATTATTTATTGCTAACCGTGACCCAGTATTTTGACGTAGATAGTAATTTATTCAGCGCTGTGTGTCGTTAAAAAGCGTGCACAATTTTTTACCAAGCCATCTTGTTAGAGAGGTCCAGGTTCAAAGCCGAAACTCGTTTCCACTGCAACCTTACACGGCCATTGTTTATCATTTGTATCATTGAACTACAGAACTCTTCAGGCTTAGGTCACGAATTATGTTCGTTATGTCGTCAGTAACATTTTCTCCATTAAACACATTACAAACAACAATCTGTCCGTTTATATACTTGAGTTTGTTTTAATCTTGGAGACCTACATTATAACCTCGTCTGTGACGAACATAAAACTATATTAGGTATTATAAAAAAATACGAAAACTGATTTTTATCTTCTTTCGCATTAGTATTTGATCGTTTAAATTTTGTCACCATACGTAATGTTAAACGCTTACATGCAAATAGAAAATTCGTACTGAGAACTGAGATAAAGTATAGAATGCGCAAAGGTGATAACCCGGTACGGTATTTACTGAATCGAGCATCAGACTATCTTGCAGCGGTATCTCTTCTTTTCCCGAACACCGCATCATGGGTCTGTCAAATCCGTATACTACTCATGTAGCAGTATCACTATGTCTCCTTTCCCGAAAACCATGTCATAGGTCTGTCAAATCTGTATTCCAGATAATTGAGCCATCCTACTGCTTGAGCACATACGATAATGCTTTGCCAGCATTATCGTCAAATCTGACTCTCCATAGAAGGATCAAAAATATCAGTTCTTCCCGGTTATAGTCACCTTACTTAAAATAAAAAGTAAATTATCACACGAATGCTAAATAAGGTTAGGTAGCCGATCAGGAGCGCAAAATCGGGCCCTTAAATATTAAGAGTTCCTTAAGCTTTAAGGTGATACTTAAGGGTTGGTGAAAACGATTTTGTTTATAAGAGTTCCCTAAATATCGCTTAAGAGTGCCTTAAACCTAAGAGAATCTTGGTGAAAACGGGCATTAGAGGCATAGCCGGTGGACCAAGTCGCTTTGACAGCTAAACGTGGGCCTTGATGGCATTCATTGATGGAACACTTCTCATTTCGACCTTGCCCTACTACCTTTCAACGAGTATACTTTAATGCTTCTCATAGTATATGCACCTCTAATTGAAAACTATTTGAAAGCGTTTATACTATTAGTATAGAAGTCTAGGCAAATTCTAAAAACCTCTTTAATGAGTATATGCTTAATAGTACGTAGTAGTAGTAAGTACTTAATGGTATATATGCATTTCTGATGCTAATGCACTCTCAAAAGTTGAGAAATGATAGGGTTTAAAGCTAGACTATTATTGTACAGATCTAGATAAAATGGAATTATTCAAAGAGCTCCATAAGAATATTTCTTTACGACACCTCAATCCGACGACCATTTGGCGTCTGTTGCTTGTAATTGTAGTGCTGGCACTGGGTTTTGCTCATAGTACTCCGATTCACATAAATATTCGTATTTTATATTTGTACAATTGATAGCAGTCAATTCATTTCATTCCTTGTGTCCGCGGAGGACCCAACGCACGCGGTTTGCATACATTTGTTGCTCGAAAATTAAAAGAAGCTTAATAAACATGAAATCTTTAAGAAAAACAAAAAACATTTTTAGGCAAAAGAGAACACTGGGTCCTTCTCTCTAAATCGGAATGGCCGAGCAGCGTGGAATAAAGTTCGCTGTGTCCGTTACTGCATCTTATTCTAGTCATATGAGTTCTATTATTTTCGGGCACACCCGCGTACTTTTGTCCAGTCTCGTCTCTCGGGGTGTATTCCGTAATATATACCAGTATACTGGCCAGTGCTAATGACGTCATGAATCGACGCTATACTGGTAAATTGTTCCGAAATATACTGGCAGTATACTGATGTATATTTCGGAATACACCCTCGGTTTCCTCGATTGGTTGGTGCAGTTTTCGTACGCGGTACTCTTAATCTGTCGTGTGTATTACTCGATGCAGTCGAGGGCAAAAAAATCCGCAAACAAAAGGCTGCGTAGGCCATAAGGGAATGGAGTCTTAAAACTTCAGCTAACTAGCCCAGCTTGACCAAGAACGCACTCAGTGCCTCCACGTTGGTGACCACATCCTGGAGTATGTCTGGCGGTACGAGGTATTTCGTTCGTACGTTGCGTTGTTAAATTATTTTGTATGTTTCTATTTTTTTGTATGTTGAAATTGTCTTTCCCATTATCTGTGACATACCTACATATTACCAAAACGTTTTTCGGTTATAAAAATGTCACCTAATTATATTCATACTGATTCGATTACCTTTCATTAACATAGGTATAATTTAATCAAATAACAGTCCCGTAAACGAATAGCACGGCCCAATGATTATTTAATCTAATGAATGTTCTGGCTGCTCTGATGGCCTAATAAAAGACAGACACTTTATCATTGTCGTGCCTCTAAATTGGTGCAGTGAATATCAAATTATTAAATTCATTAAACAGCACACCAAAACAGTGTAATTTGAATACTTATGTTAAATATGTATTTTAATTTCGAAAATCACCTGTAAGTATCTCATTTTGAAAATGATATTATGCGATTTTGTATTAAACGGGTATTTATATTTTACTGTAATTCCGATGTAAGCCGATAATACGAAACTATTTTATGCTTCATGCATACTATGTAGAGTAGTATCCAAATTTCATTTCATATTCGGTTCTTAATTCCAATATAATATTGCTCTGATTACGATCAGTATGTGTTCAAATATCGTCATTTGAACCTTACCTGACCTAAGATTTTAACACATTCTTTATCAGCTTCTCATCCTAAGATGGATGACATCGAAATTTCTCAGGGAATCCA